GGGGCGGGGCTGGATCGGGGTGGCCGCGTTCTTCCCGCTTCCTTGCAGCCGCGGCCGCTCCTCTCGCAGCCCGCGAGCCCTTCGTGGCTGCTTTCTCTATGCCGCCCTCCCGAAAGCGCTCCGGGTAAGCGCGGCCCCGCGCCGGACTGGGTGCCCCGGGGAGGGGGAGGGGAGACGGTGGGGGCGGGGTGCGCGGAAGGCGGGTGCCCAGAGGGGAGCGCGGCGGCGCTGGACGGGGACCCACGGGCGTTCGGGCGGGCGAGGCGCGCCGCCCGGGTGCAGGCGGGCGCGGAGCAGGAAGTGGAGCAACCCGGCGGGGCCGCGGCGGCACACCGGGGGTGGGAGGTGGATTGCCAGGGGAGACCGGGGCGGAGGGTAGGGGTGGCTCTGCTCCTTCGGGACCCCAGAGGCTGGCTTCCCGCACCCAGGTGTCAGGGTTTAATTGCCTGTCTCGGTCCTCTTCCTCCAGTCATTGTCAATGCTAGAGCACTCAGGCCTGGATTACTTCTAGATATGCGTCGCCTCCTCTGCATCCTCCCGTAGCTCCTCAGCACCCCGGAAAACCCTCGCTGCCTCACGGAGGTCGCTGCTAGTCCCCACCACACGCTCAGCAAACTGCCCTGCAGCGCCTGCACGTGCAATGATCCTGGAGAACCGGCGAGGCTGTCTTCAAAATCCCACCCCTTTAAGAAATAACTTAAACCTGTGTTTCTCAGAGTGCTTCCCCTGACCTCATCTAGAAATGCGAATGTTCAGCCTGCCCCAAACCTTTTAAACCTAGCGGGTCAGGCCACGCCTGGGTATAGCTGGCCTCCAGGTGATTCTGATGCTGACATCCTTTAAGACCCATTGATGTGTAAAGCCTGAGAGCCTTGAGGAGTCTGAACTGGAGGTTGGGACGAGCCAGGTGACTAGTGATTAAAAATACTTTTTAAAAATTTTGAGGGTGACAGGGTCCAAGTGTCCCAGTGAATGCCTAAAGCCATGCCTAGTACCCAACCCAATGTGTACTGTGTCCTATACATACACACCTGTGATAAAGTTTAATTCATAAACTAGACACAGGAAGAGAGAAACAGCAACTACTAATAAAGTAGGACAGTTTTAACAGTGTGCTGTTAATAAAATTGCCAGTATCACTACTCTTGCTCTTGGGACTGTAAGGAAAGCAAGGGTAACTTGAACTTAAGCACTGCCATACCGTAACAATTGCTGAGGTGCTGGATGCAGAATGATTTTATCACGTTGCTCAGGATTTAAAACATATGAGTTATTTCTGGAGTTTCTCATGTAAGATTTTTGGGTGCATGTGATAGGAGGTCATGGAAACCTTAGAAAGTAAAATCGGATAAGAGGGGACTGCTGTACTCCATTTAACTGTCACACCCCTCTACAGTAGGTAATGCTAACCCCATTGGCAGATGAGACAGTAGAGGCAGACGCAGCTTAACTTCCCCAGGGTCACACATTTGAAGAGGAGGCACTGGGGTTCTAACCTCGAGGCCCAGCTCTGGAGTGTTCCCACTAGGACAGTCTTCCCCTGCCGGATGTGGTGGTACATGCCTGTAATTCCAGCACTCTGGGAGGCTTAGACAGGAGGATCATAATTTGGAGCCTACCCTGAGTGTCTTAGTGGGACCTTGTCTAAACAAAACAACCACAAAACTTTTCAAAAGGGCTGGAGATGGAGCTCAGTGCAAAGGCCCTGGGTTCAGTCCCCAGTAGCACTGCAAAAACAAGTAACATGTGAACACATTCTGTTCACAGAACACGCTAGCATTCCGCATAAAGTAGAGGCAGCCACAGTGTCCCTGAATAGCAAGGGGCACAAAGCAGGTAAAATAGGATGTTGACCCTGGGCCTAGGTCCACGTGACTTCTGCTTTCCCAGGGTTACCCTAACTAGGTCTTTCTTGGGGCACTTACATCCATGCATGTGGGGTGAAGATGATGAGGCCCAAATGGTCACTGTCAAGTTGCCCTTGGCAGAGACAGAGAGAGACCCGGGGTGAGTGTCTCTGTCCCTGTCTTGGAGCCCCCCCCAGGGGAGAAGAGGTGTTTACAGCTTGGAGTAATTTGCACGTCCCCAGTCCCAGCACTTGTGTCTTTCTCCTGCTGCGCGTCCTTTCCACCTTGTGCTGTGTCTCCGGTGGTTTTTCTGTTTCCTGCAGACTTGGAGGTGTTCGTTCGTTTGTTTTTTGCATCCTCCTCCTTTGTCTCATCTGTTGGTTCCAGTTTTTCTCTTAGATTTGCTTGCTTTCAAACTGTGGAGAGGTTTTGTCCCGTAGAGTAGTTAAACTTTGATGTATGTGTGAACCTCACCCCCAACCCCTGGTCTCCCATGGTCGTTGTTTTTATTTTTTTTTTCCCATCTAGACTTCAGGGGTTTTAAGGTTCGAATTCTTGGTTTAAGATCTAAACTCTCTCTCACTGTGCACTCTTTGAGAGCTCAGGATGACCAAGTCCTGTCCTGCCAGCAGAGGGAGCCTGTTCATAGGGCTTGGAGGTCTGGGTGCTTGGACAGAGCCCTTCTCTCTCCACAACTCTGTGTCCTCGGTTCAGTATGGTAATGTACTTACTGCATAGGCAACACTTTGAAAAGATATTTGAGCACCTACTTAAAAAAAAAAAAGTTACATCCTTTTTATTTACACAGCTAATACAACATATTTCTTAAATTTCTCATTTACATTTACATTTACAACTGGTTGCTTTTTTCTTTTACTGTAAATGATACTTGATTTTTCCCAGATGTTTAAGCATTCATTGTGTGTATATAAAGCTCTTCTGAAAATTTAAGTAGAACCATAAATCTAATATATCTAACTCGTGTGATGTTTTCAATATGTACACTATAATTATAGTGATTGCACTGTTAATTAGTTCACTAAAACCGGTTACAAAAACTCAAATATCATGGATCGGAAAGTATATCTGGTCGGCCCTGTATATCTGTGGGTTTTTCATCCATAGATTGAGCCAACCTCAGATCAAAAATATTAGATCAAAAACAAAGAAAAATAGTGTGTCTGTATTGAGCATGTACAGATTTTCACTTTATCATTAGCTGAAAACTACATTATAGCTCTTTATATAACATTGACATTAAGTATTGTCATCTAGAGATGATCTAAAGCAGTGGTGATGAACCTATGGCACATATGTTACTGTATTTTTCTTTTAAGACAAAAGATGTTAATGTGTGAGTTTTTTTCCAAATTAAAACTTCAGTGTTCTGGATGAATTGCAGAGTTGGCACTTTGCATTAAGTGGATTTTGGGTTGCAGTTGATTACTCCTCTCTAAAAGGTTTGCTGTCCCTGCTCTAAAGCCTAGGGAGGATTGCACAGATTCTGAGCAGATCCTACACCTGTTTAGATAAGGAATTGAACAGCTGAGGATTTTGGTATCCTCAGGGAATCCTGGAACTAATGTCTCAGAGATCCCTAGGGATGACTCTTCATTATCTTTGTGCCTCTTAGTCCATGCTAGTGTTATTTTTCTTAATTTTGCTATTTTTTCACCTTTCTAGGGTTTTATGAATCTTACCAAATTTAAGAGAGGAGGCAGTTGCTAGCCAGCAGTAATAGCACATGCTTGTAATCTCTGCACTCTGGGAAGCTGAGGCAGGAGGGTCACAAATTAGAGTCCAGTCTTGGCAGTTCAGTGACTTAGTGAAATCGTGTCAAAGTAAAGTGGGGACGGGCAATAGCTGCCTCAGAGCAGCTGAGGTTGAGGCATCTCAGTGGGTTGGTTATCCATAGGGTGATTCTGGATTGGGAGTTTGGGGGTTGTACCCTGGCTGTACCGTTGAGGGTAAACGCCAGCCTGTGTGCTTTCATGCTGAGCCTAAGTTTTGGTTGATGTACCATGAGACTTTTGGATTTAAAGTTTGGTTGTTTTTCTTGCCCCTTGGAATCTGTTGGCGGTGAGGGAGTCCTCCAGGGTGACTGGTGGCAACTGCCTCCTTGTCCTAACCTAATTTTTTAGTATATTTAGAAACTCATTTGTGTCTTGCTTGAATCTCAGTGCAGTTAATGGGGCCATCCATTAATTTCTTCTTTTAATTTTTGTTTTTGGAAAAAATGTTTTTTGAGACAGTTCTTGCTGTGTTGCCAGGCTGACCTGGAACTCCTGGACTCAAATGACCCTCCTGCTCAGCTGTTCCAGTGGCTGGCACTCTGGCATGTACCCCACCATACCCCCCTGAGTCCAGAGGCTTCATGCACTTGGGCATAAGGCAGTGAGTCTGCACGGTTCGTGCTTCTCGGATTGCCTAGTTCTTAGAGAGCAGTTTGGGGCCCTCTGTTTTGGGGTTATCTTGTCTGACCATGTGTGCTCTTCCGCTGCTGATGCTCCCTCCTGCCTGCTTATCCTATGACTATGAGGACTGGTTGAGTTGTCCTGTTCTACTGGCCTGGTTCCTACTTTTCCAGCATTGTTTTGGACTCACCTACTTGCTCTGTCTCCTTGTGAAGTAACATAGATATAACATGATCAACAAAGTACTGAACCTGGTGATGTGGTCATATCCATCTTATTAAAATTAGTAAAAGAAGATTCTGTAATTGGCTATACTTTTTCCTTTATTGATTTTGATTGGTTTTGTTTACTGTATTTTTTTTTTCTTTCTTTCTTTCTTTCTTTTTTTTTTTTGGTACCAGGAATTAAAACTCAGGACCTTGTGCTTGCCAGGCAAGTGCTTGTGCCACTGAGCTATATCCCTGGCCCAATTTTGATTGATTTTATATGTTCTTTTATTTAAACCATTCTTTATTGACGCTGTATGTTCTCTGAAAACCCACTTATGGTAAAGATTGAAACCTTTTGAATTTTTGCAATGAAATTCATATGTGTTACCTAGAAAAATTCAAGGAACAAGAATTTGAAGAGAAAACATTTCATTATGTGCCATTGTTATGGGTATTCCAAAAGTGGATCATTAGGCTTTGAAGGGTTGTTAACGTCTCTCTTTCCCTCTTCTTTTTTTTAATGGTGCTAGGCATGGAAACTAGACCTTTGTGCATGCTAGGCAAGCTTGGTATCACTGAACTACACCAGCTCACATTTTTTGGTAGTCTACTGAACTCATAACCTGCAAACTTAGCTTATAATCATTACATTTTTTATTTATTATTTGATATTGAAGTTGTCACTGTTGGTCAGTGGTGATCAGTTTAAATATTTTCCTTGTCTTTTTAGCTGCTTCTCTGACACCCTGGACGCGTCTTATTTTCAGGCAAAAAAAGAATGCTTTAGAATCATCCTGAGTTTTTCTCTTGCTCCAAATTACTGGATTCATTATTGTCTAGGAATTGTGGTTCCAAGTAATATTATAGACCAAAATCTGGGTCCCCTAGGCGTAAGGGGGCATCTCCCAAGGTGGGAAAAAGGCCTAATCTTCATGCTACTTTTAGAAGTGTCAATGTCAGGGCCAGAAAATATATCAATGTCAGGGCCAGAAAATATATCAAACCCACCTTCCTCTCCTAAATTAGGGTGCTCTTTGGTGCTGGCAGAATAGGGCACCAAAGAGCATCCTAATTTAGGAGAGGAAGGTAGGTTTTTTTTAAGGTTGTCGTTCACACTAATTTTTAGCTGTTTGGTGTACCCGCCTGTCGTTTGAGTACGTGGTGTCATGCGTAACTAACCTTTTTCTCCCACACTGGTGGTCTCTGCTCTCTCCTCTGTCTACCCCAGAGAGGAGCTGGTCGGACTGCTCAGAAATCACAGAGCTAGCACTTAGTGGTTAACTTTCAGCGCCTCCCAAAGCGTTTCAAACAACAGTGATTCACCATTTCTCAGTGGTCTGTGGGTTCTGGGACATAGCTTTAGCTCCAGATGCTTGCAGTCTCTAATGCTTTAGCCGTACCTTACCGGAAACACAGACTCCTTGCTTGGCCTGTGAG